TGTTGCCACGTATGCCCTGAAGGGGCAGAATCACCCTGCTTGAGAACCACTGTGTGTGTGTGTGTGTGTGTGTGTGTGTGTGTGTGCACACATGTTTGCAGGTTGTAATGGGAAAGAAGAGGATGTTATGAGTGTTGGGCTTGAGGTCTCTCTCTGGACAGTGGCCATAAACTCTAGCCTGCCTTGACAGGGCTCCAGGGGTCTGCTCACAGAGTGTACAGCCTGCCTCTCCTAGGATACTTCATCCTGGCAGATGGCCTGATGCCCCAGTATCCCGCCTGTGACCAAGTGTCCTCTCACAGGACACCTGTTTGTACTGGTACATGCCCTGTGGCTCCCACCTGGTGTACAGCCAATTCCTACCAAGACAGAGCGGAGTCCTGACCAGCGAGGAAGTTAGGGTCAGGTGTGTGGGTCAGGTGAGACGCAGAGGAGGCAGCTTGACAAAACACATGATGTCACAGAAGCAGTGTGTCACTTATGGATCCCAGAGAGCAGAGGGCAGCGGGAAGGGAGAGCTGTCTGAGACATGCTCACTTGGCAACCCATGGGCCAACGCCTTTTTTGGGGTCCAGGGCGTGATCCAGACAGGCTTCCCTTGGGCAGTCCTAGCTGCCAGGTTTAGAGCAGGCAGGCGGGAGTCCCGTGGAGGCCCAGTGAGACTGAGAGGGGGTCCCTGCAGCGTATCTGCAGAGTCCATGCAGGGTGTGGGGTCAGCAGGGCTGGCCAGGCAGGCTGTAGCTGGCTGTCCCATGGAGAGGTGGCAGCAGTACATGGTGGTATAGGGCAGGTGTCTGGATCAGCCACATTGGGGAACAGAGGAGGCGGAGAGCTGGGGACTGAGCCCTGCTTCTGGTGTGGAAAAGTTAAACCTCTGTTCAAAGTATGGGATGCCAGACTGGCAGATTAGCTCAGTTGGTTAGAGTGCAGCCTCATAACACCAAGGTCACAGGTTCTGATCCCCGTACTGGCCAGCTGCCAAAATAAAACAAACAAATGCGAGATGTTGGCACAGCCTAATGTGATCAGAATTCACTGTGGGGCACCTGGCTGAGATAGAGTCCTTGGAAATTTCTTGTAAGCTGAGACCCCAGGAATGAGAGTCAGCCAGCCATGAGTAAAGCTGAAGATGGAACATTCCAGACAGTATGGATGGGTTGTCCCAAGGCCTGAGTCTGGAAAGAGGCTGGTTTGTGCAAACACCTTCACGAGTCCAGGCAAGATGGGCCACGTCCCTGTACCCCGCCCCCTACTCTCTGCACAGTGTCCAAAACTGCACCGTCCCTATGGCAGCCACTGACCACGCCCGGCCGTGCACGCTCAGGTGAATGACAGAGAAGATGATGTTCCGGTTCTCAGCCACGCCAGCCACTTTTGCAGTTCTCGCTGGCCACATGCGGCTAGTGGTTTCTGTACTAGTCAGAACAGAGAGAACATGTGCACCATCTAGAAAGTTCTGCTGCACAGCTGTGGCACAGAGGATCTGATGCGGGTGGTCATTGTGCCCCAGACCTCGTGTTCCTTCTCAGCGCTCAGGAGATCAGAGGGGTGGGACGAGCCCAACCCCAGGTCGGGCGGGAGCAAACCCCACGTAGACATGAGGGCAGGCGAAGCCGCTGTCACCACAGTTCTGGAGGCTGGAGGTCGAGATCAAGGGGGAACAGGGCTGGTTCCTTCTGAGGCTCAGCGAGAATGTGCCCAGGCCTCTGCCCTGCTCCTGGTGGCTGCGGCAGTCCTCGGTGCTCCTTGGCTTGGAGAAGCATCGCCTCATCTGTGCCTCCATCTTCGCCCGGCCGTCTTCTCCCTGTGTCTCTGTGTCTTCTTCTCTGTCTCTTAGAAGGATCTCTGTCTTTGGATTCAGGGCCCACCTAATCTAGGATGACCTCGTCCTAAAATCCTTACCTTAGGTGCGTGTATTAGCCCCCGTGGCTGCTGTGACAAAACAGCACAGACTGGCGGCTTAAACAACAGAAATATATTCTCTCTGTTCTGGAGGCCAGAAGTCCAAGATCAGGGTGCCGCAGGGTGCGTTCCTTACAGGCCTCTCTCCGTGGCTTGACCCTGTGTGGTGCTCCCCGTACATGTGGGTCCCCGGTGTCCTCCCTTTTCTTTTTTTTCTCTTTTCTCCAGTGGTTTTTTTTGGCAGCTGTCCAGTACAGGGATTGAACCCTGGACCTTGGTGTTATCAGCACCATGCTCCAACCCACTGAGCTAACCGGCCAGCCTTCTCCCTTTTCTAATAGGACACCAGGCCTATGAGATTAGGGGCCCACCTTGGTGACCTCATTTTAACTCAGTCACCTCTTGAAAGATTTCATCTCTAAATATGTTTCTACTTCAAGGTACTGGGGGTTGGTGGGCTTCAATATATGAATTTTGGGGGGACACAATTCAGTCCATGATGCCTTAATTGCACCTGCAAAGACCCTTATTCCAAATAAGGGCACAATCTGAGGATCCACGTGGAATATCTTTGGAGGACCACAGTTAACCCACTACAGCAGCTTCAAATCATTGGATCTGGTTAGAGCTCAGTGTTGGTAACACCAGGGTCCATGGTTCGAGCCCTGTACTGGCCAGCCACATACACAAAAGAAGTTGGGTTCCTGTAATCAATATGTGTGAAGCCTCATGAGTCCCTTATAATGGATTTTTGTATTTTTTTTTTTAAAAAACACCCCCTTTTTAACCTCTTGCGTGAATTGGGTATTTTTGCACTTCGCTAATTGAACGGTGACATCCAACCAACCCCATCTCTGCTGCCTCTAAACATCTCTCTCTCTCTCCCCCTCTTTCTCTTGTGTGCATTCTCTTCTCCAGCTCCAGAAGGTTCTGCGCCTTGGGCACATCAGCACCGACTACCCACTGGCCGAGACCATCATGCTCCTGGGTTTCCTCGTGACGGTCTTCCTGGAGCAGCTGATCCTGACCTTCCGCAAGGAGAAGCCATCCTTCATCGACCTGGAGACATTCAATGCCAGCTCGGATGCAGGCAGCGATTCAGAGTACGAGAGTCCCTTCATGGGGGCCACGCGGGGCCACTCCCATGGCCCCGGCCTGCGTGTCCAGGGGCTGTCACGCCCCGGCCCCCTGCGCCTGCTCAGCCTGGCCTTCGCCCTGTCGGCCCACTCCATCTTCGAGGGCCTGGCCCTGGGCCTGCAGGAGGAGGGCGCGAAGGTGGTCAGCCTGTTCGTGGGGGTGGCCATCCACGAGACGCTGGTGTCTGTGGCCCTGGGCATCAGCATGGTCAGGAGCGGTGTGACCCTACGAGATGCGGCCAAGCTGGCGGTGACTGTGAGCGCCATGATCCCGCTGGGTATCGGCATTGGCCTGGGCATTGAGAGCGCCGAGGGCCTGCCCAGCAGCGTGGCCTCCGTGCTGCTGCAGGGCCTGGCGGGTGGCACTTTCCTCCTCGTCACCTTTCTTGAGATCCTGGCCAAGGAGCTGGAGGAAAAGGGCGACCGCCTGCTCAAGGTGCTGTTCCTGGTGCTGGGCTACGCCGTCCTGGCTGGGATGGTCTTTCTCAAGTGGTGAGTGTCCTCCTCATCGCTGCCCTGCCGGGAGCCCGGGCCACACACACGCTGCGTCCCGGCCCTGCCTCGCCCGAGCGGGAAAGCGGTGGCCCCGGGCCCCGCCCGTGCCCAAGGGCGCCTGCCAGGACCAGGCAGCGCCCCGTCCACACCCCAAGCCTTGGGGCACTGCGACTACTTTTTCAAATACTTCTCTTAAAAGTTTTTACCAAAGCTGTGTGGCCATGTCAACCTCGGGTGGAGGGATCTGTAACACGCAGGCTGGGCGTCCAGGTGACGTTGGTCACAGCCCTCCCTGCCCTGCCTGTGGACAAGGACATCAGCGTTCACTTGGCCGTGCCCAGCGCGAGCTGCAGTGTCTGAGCTGCAGGGACTGGGAGAGGGGCTCTGAGGCCTCTGCCCTCTGCCCTGTCCCTGCGACCTCACCCCACCGCCGTCCTCCCCGCTAAGTCTTGAAGAAGGTCTCGGGGTTTATCGGAGGTTTGCGTCGCTGTGGCACGACACCGGGGCGGTTTCTAAGAGGAGCCCCCAACATGGAACGTCCATTCCGCAGCCAGACCGGGCTCTGTGCCTCCTGCCACCTGAGGTTGTGCCTCCAGCGGGACAGGAGAGGCCCAGACTCCTGCCCCCACAGCGTTGGCTCACCCTGAACCCCTAGGAGGGCCCCCCTGGAGTGGGGAGGCAGGGGCCACTAGGCCAGAGAGTGTGGCCGTTTCCTAGGACACAGGCAGGCTGAGGGGCAGGGGCTACACAATGCCAGTCCCCCACCAAACATACCAGCACACTGAAGCCACGGTCACTGCCCCACTGGGTGCAGGAGAGCGGGACAAACAGCCCAGCATGAGGCTGGGGGAAGCCCTGGGCTCTGGCTCTGGAGCAACCTCTGGGAGGCCTGATCTGTTGTCCCAGTAACCTGGTGTCTTGGGAAACAAGCAGGGCTGAGACGCCTTTCCTCAGGGGATTTTGCTTTGTTCGCAGAGAAGACTGGGCCCTGAGGCTGAGCCCCACCTTGCTCTGGCCTCTAGCCCCTGGTGTCCTATCTGGGCCTCAGTTTCTCCCAGATCCATCTTGGGCTGCTGGGACCCATTGTTCCCCGAGCTGTGCCACTTCCTCACCTGTTCCCTCAGCTGCTGGGCTAGGTGCACTCCTTTCTAGAATCCTGTGCCTCACCCACACTGCCAATGCCATCCCCTTGTGCCCAAGACTGTGCTGCAGTGGGACTATTTAGCTCCATGACAGGGAGAGGCCCCCGCCCGCCCTGTGGCCCTGGGCCCAGCGGGGCCTCCCATCAACCTGTCCAGCCAGACGGGGAGTTCCTGTCCAGCCCTGGCTGCCTTGAGCACTGTCACAGGAGTCTCGAGGAGCAACGTGATCGCCTCAGCCACCGTAAATAAACCGGCTAATGACCTTCCGAGGTTGGAGGCCTGGGCGAGAGGCCTGCCGCGGCTGCTCAGCTCCCCCAGACACAGGGCACGAGAGCCACAACTTTCAGAACAGCCCCGGCTGCCTTGAGCACTGTCACAGGAGTCTTGAGGAGCAACGTGATTGCCTCGGCCACCGTAAATAAACCAGAGTTCAAATCCCGGCTCCCAGGGCCTGGGACATGTGTCCAAGACCCCCCACCCCAACTTTCACCCCATGCTGTTGTAAGTATCAGGTTCCATTTCTAGGAACTTCTGTCTGAATCTTCTACGCGGAACCCATCGCTGAACCCCACGTGGCCTGATCCCATCCCCACGCCGGGCACGTGGCTCCGTGGGTGTGGGAACGTCTCCACTGTGCCCTAAACACAGTGCTTTTCCACTTCCACCTGCACCCACTTCGCCTGCCCAGGAACCAGAAGGTTCTGCCATTTGGCCTTTGCCATGGGTGGGTGGGTCGTTGTAGCTGGATCCCTGCTTCGCCCGGGAATGCGGCCCAAGTGACAGTGACTGGACAAGGGGCAGGAGGTGGCCCTACATGCCCCCCACTTAGGAAGGTTCATGGTTGCCTGTCCCCCAAATCCAGCAGGAACCCCACGAGGGGGCAGAGAGCAGCCTGCTTCTGGGGTCCCCATGCCTGTACCTGTCACTGCCAAAAGCACAAAGTAGGGTTCCCCTCCTGTCCTCTCATCAGCCATCAGCTTCCTGGGGAGGCCCTGGGGACACCATGCTGCAGGCCCAACCACTCTGCCCAGAGGTCCCCACGCGACTTCTTCCCCTCCCCCCCAGAGGAACCCTGAGACCACGTAGTTCCCCCAAGGGCACCACCAAGCCGCTGAGGATCCCTTGGTGTGGAAAGATCCCTTGTGCCCATTTGGCTGACCACCTGCGCACCCTTGGGATCCTCTGCCTCCTCCACAGTTAGAAATTGCAGGACCCAGGTGGCCCAGCATCCCTGGATCCTGCTGCCTGCCATGCATCAGGCCTGCCAGGCTGTGGCAGTGCCTGGCTGCCCTTCTCTCCTGAGAGTCCTGCTGGCCCCAGCAAAGCTGCTTTGGGCCTGGCCATGGACTCTTGGACCCTGAGAGGTTTTGGGGAGGGAGGGGCTGCTGTAGCAGAGCCACAGCCTGTTTGGCTGTCACTCCCTGCCCCGACCCAGGCCACCTGTGTCCTGCTATCTGGCTGCCTCCTGTCTGCTGTGGCTGGAGGAGCAGGGTCAGTCCTGACATCCCACCTCCAAGGAGCTGCAGGGGGATAGGGCAGTGGTGACAGGGTGTCTCTTGAGCTGGTTTGGGCTGATGGTGGCTGGGTCTGACCTGGACTGGGGTCTTATGAGGCTGCCCAGTGGCTCCGTGCCCACAGACCCTGGCCACATGGGCATAGTCACCAGTAATGGGAGTTTCTGCTTGAAGATGAGTGTGGATTTATCACTGCCCACAGCCACAGACCAGTTCCCCCAACAAAACTGGACGTCATGAGCACCGCAGGGCAGGCCAGAGTCCTCCATGAAAGGCTTTGTCCATTTCTGTGCAACTTTGGGATGTTGCAGAAATGTCACATGGCCTGCAGAAGCTGAGAGGCCTCCTTCTCAGAGGCCTCTTTTACTGACTGAGATTCTGCCCCCAGGGGACACAGGATGATGTCTGGAGACATTTGTGGTTGTCAGGACTGAGGGGCACTCCTGGCATGGAGTGGGTGGAGGCCACGGATGCTGCCCAGCACCTGCAGTGCCCAGGACGCCCCACCACAGAGAAGGACATGGCCCCAGTGTCCACAGTGCTGAGGGAGGACCCTGCCCTAACTCAGGAAGACCCAGGGCGGGCGACAGTGGATTGCATAGATGGGCCAGTCCGTGGGACAGAAAGAGAGGAGAGGGAGGCAGCCCCTGCTGACGGTGTGACACTCTGGCAAGAACCAGGAACGACTCCTGGAGCTTGGACATGTGTGTTTCCAATAAGCACAAATGCCTTTCTGTTTGAAAACACAAAACTCCAAGCACAAAATGCCAACAGCCACCTCTGTCTGAATGTCATGCTTCTGTCTGGGTCACAGCCATTCCTGGCCACTTGCTTGGCCACAGCTTCTCTCATCCACGGCCAGGCAGGGGCCAAGGTCAGGCCCTGGCCCTCCGCAGATGGATGGAGTCAGCCGGATTCTCCTCCTGGATCTGGAGACAAAAGAGAAAACGAGGCGGTGCCCAGGCTTTGCGGTTTGAATCAACCGTAATAACAGCGTGTCGGGGCCGTGTTGTCTCTTGTTTGTGTTTCTGTTGGAGACGTTATTAGTGAGGGGCGGGGATCGGGAGCGCCTGCGACTTGCCAGGCCCAGAAAAGCCAGCGGTGGATGGGACAGTGTCTCCCGGCGTACGGTGCTTTCAGGCTGTCCCAGCCACCAGCTCTGGATCCTCTGCCCTGCCAGGAAGAGAGTGGCCCATGTCCCTCCTGTCCCAGCTGCCCACCTGCACACAGCACAAGCCCTGAGCTGTGTCAGCTCCGGGGCAAAGCCAGTGACCAGCCTGTCACCAGTAAAGGCTCCCTGGCTGTCACTTGGGTTCCCTGCTGCTGGCCTGACCTTTCCAGAGCCTCCCGTGCAGGCTGCTACAGAACGTGGAGGGTTGTCTGCGAAGATCCTAGAAGTTTTCTCCAAGCTGGGGTGCTGAGGCCAGATCAGGCCGAAGCGGGAAGACCCCCAGGCTTCTGTGAACTCCACCTGCAAGCCTCTCGGGGCAGGAACACAGCTGACCTTGGCATTCTGGCCAAGGGTAGAAGCAATCGATGGAGGTGTGCCCAGTCTTGCTGGGAGGGAACTGGGTTGGGCTGGTGCCAGGGATGCTCAGCTGAGGTGCTGCACAGAAAGCAACGGGCACAGCCTCTCAGTGAAGAGAGGTGACTGGGATGGCCAGGGACACCAGTTGGGCTTCTGTCCGAGCTAGTTTAGGCTCAGCCAGCCTCAGGCCAGACGAGGTGGCCCCAAGAACAGTGATTCTTGACCTTGGCACTGTGGATGTTTGGGGCTGGATCCTTCTCTGTGGTGGGGCGTCCTGGGCACTACAGGTGCTGAGCAGCGTCCCTGGCCTCTGCCTACTCCATGCCGGGAGCATCCCCCCAGTCGTGACAAACACAAATGTCCCCACACACTGCCCGGAGTTGCCTGGGGGCAGAGTTGCCCCAGGTGAGAGCCTCTGCCCTAGAACTAAGGTAGCTCTCATTCTACTGAGGAACACAGATAACAAACAACATATCAACATTTAATGCAATATCAGGTAGCAATAAATGCCCTGAAAAAAAAAAATCAAGGTTAAGGGGAGGCCATTTTTAGCAGTTGGGCCAGGGAGAGGTCTTTGAGGAGGTGATATTTGAGAGGGACCAGAAGAAGGATGCTACAAGGAGACTGGGGAAGAGCTTTTCGGCAGAGGGAGCGGTCTGTGCAGCAAAGGCCCTGAGTTCTTTCCGTAGATCTGTCTTTCTGATGACCGAAGTGGCCCACGGTATTTGTAAAAAACCCAAGCGTTACAGGGGTTTATCCTGCCAGTGGCAAAGGCTTCAGTGACTCCTCCCCTCAGAAGTGGTGATAAATCAGCACCCTGATGGTAGGGGGAACCTGGGCCACCCGCCAGGGCCAGGCAGGTGGCTTTGGTGAGGTGTGCGTCTTCCACGGTGGACTGGGGTTCAGGAGCGCAGCAGCATGCAGCTCCTGCAGATGCTGATGGGGCAGAAATCAGGCAGAACAGGGATGCCAGCCTGCTGGTTTTTTAAGACAAACTGGATTTTGACAAATGGTCTCCTTATTTTAAAATATTGACTCCAAACTCAAAAAGCAAAGCCATCTTTGTGGACCGAACCCCGTCTGCGGTTCCGCCTTCTGCAGCCATTTTGTGCAGGCTCTGCCTTGCCGGTGAAACTGCATCAGTCTGAGGAGTCCAGAGTGGGCAGAGGATGAGACCCAGTGGCCCTTCTGCCACAGCCGGCCGGGGCACTGAACGAGGCCGGGCGAGGAGCTGGGACTTCGCATGTGGACGGCCGCGCCATGTAGTTCTGGAGAAAGGACATGTCTAAGGACTGGCCAGAGGCCCCTGGGCCAGACCTCCACACAGCCAGGGACAGGAAGGAGGGGGCATGAGGAGGTGGCCGCCCATCCCCAGTAGATGGGCTGTGGCTTCAGAGCCCGCGGATCCGAGTTCTCATCCCAGCCCAGCCTCTTCGCTTCTGGGACTCCTTGGGTAAGTTGCGTCCCTTCTCTGAGCCTCGTGCATGCTCAGCACCTGTAACGGTGGCACCCCGTGTCTGCAGGAGCTGCACAGACGCGGTTCGCTGTGAGGACTTGGTGTGGATGTGTGCAGACCCCTGTTCGGCTCAGGGCCGATGGTGCTGTCCTCGCAAGTCCTTCCTTGCCACCTCTGTGCCACTCGGGATGCCCAAGGACTCTTCAAAAAGTATGTGGGACACAGGAGACCCAGGTTCCAGCCCTGCTGGCTCAGCCTCCCTGGTGCTTGAGTTCCCTTGTCCCAGATGTCTGGAGCTTGCCAAGGAGGGACAGAGCTGGTGACACCCACCACCCCCTCATTCACAAAGGCCAGGGCCGCACTCTCTGCTCTCTGGGTCAGCAACAGTGGGTGGGGGTGACCCTTCCTAGTTTTGGGGGCTCGGGTGGGGGGTTGAGCCCCCACACCCCAGGGAAAGCGAGGCCAGGACACCAAGGCCTGTCATCCCCTGGCTTGTGAGGCCCACAGCCTGGCTGGCAGCTATAAATAGCAGCCGCAGTGTGGAAGCATCGCTGTGCCCACTCTCCTACGCATGAGTCAGCCCACAAGGCCTGGGCTGGCGCCCGGTGGAGCTGGGGAGCCGGCCAGAGGCCTGGCGCAGCGTTGGCCGGTCGCTCGGTCGCTCGGGAGACGGAGGCAGGCGGGCGGGCGCCGCCGTCTCTGTGTGCCCAGCAGCCCTGTGGAGGAGGCGGTCATGCCCATTCCCAGCCACCCCTAAGGTGGGGCGACAGCGATCCTCACTGACAGATGGGGAAATGGAGGCTTGGGGGTGCTTTCCTGGAACACAGAGACCCAGACCAGAAGCTGGGAAGTGTCTGCCCACAGCGCCGTGTCCCTCTCTGGCTGAGAGGACTTGGAGATGGGAGGCAGGGGCCAGGCCACCCTCCGAGGTGGCCAAGGACAGGGCAGGAGGGAGGTGGGCAGCCCAGGGAACAGCCGATCGGCCGCGTCGGGAGCGTGGACACCAGGCGAGAGGCTGGACCTCGGCCCAGGAAGGGGACGGAGGCAGCTGCGGGCAGCACTGGGGCCAGGAGGTCCACGCTCACAGCCAGGGTGGCAGGAGGCTGCAGGCCGAGCCTGGGCGGCCGGGGAGGGGGCTGGAAACGAGTCGGGGAATCGAGCGCCGTGAGCCCCACGGCAGGATGGGCCAGGGCCGCAGCCTCTGTGGCGGTAGGAGGGGCCGGGTGGTCCTAGGGGCAGCGTCCAGTCTCTGAGGGGGCAGGAAGGGCCCAGCTGAGCCAGAGCCACTGAAATGGTGGGTCCGCGGGGACCAAGGAGCCCAGGGCCTGAGGGGCCCGGGCTGCAGGGCCATCTGCTCGTGCACTGGTGACGGGGGTCCCGTCCAGCCGCTCTGACTAGAAAGCCCCTCCCCACCCAAGGGTGCCCTGCTGTCACAGTCGGGGACCTGGGCTGTCTCAAGACCATCCCCGAGGGGACCATCGGGTCTGGTGCTGGACCCCAACTGTCCCTTGGCTTAGCCACGGCCACACAGACACACTCGAAGCTTCCCCAAGACGGCCCCTCGGTCTCAGGCCACCTCCCGCTTGGGGAAGGCAGACATTTCCGGACAGGGAACTGCAAACCGTGGCCCCTGCGGAGCGCTGGGGTCTTCTCTGCTCGGTCCCCGCCTTCGCACGGCCAACAAGCCCGGGCCGGAGGAGGGGCCTCCGGGGACCCCCAGTGGCCGGGACGCGAGGCCCCCGCTGCCGCCTGCCGCATCCCTGTGCCGATGGAGCCATTATCGACCTGATCTTGCCGCCCATGCGCTGTCCCCCGCTCCCCGCCCCCAGCCCATCCGCTCTTCGCCCAAGGCCCGGTCTCTGCCCCGGTGTCAGCTGGACTCGAGCCCTCCGTCGCCGGCCCCGGGCTCCTCCGCGACCCGGGGCCCCC